AAGTTATCCATGAAAAAAACATTGAAATAAAATTAAACTTATAGTAATAGTACCATGTTTTTCAATAAAATTTAGTATAGGGTCTTTTTGAGGGGTGGTAAATCCAGTGCCGTGCTTAGAATTTGTTTAAAAAAATAGCTAATATGAATTCTTAAAAATTTACTCTTAAAAACTGACATAGTAGGCCTTGTATGTTTTAAAAATATGGCGTTTTTCTGCTTCAAAAATACAGGTTATCAAGATCTACACTTTAAAACAAATCCGGCACAATAAATAAAAATTTTACATGTGCTAATACACGTCCAAAATAGATACTTTTGTGAAGAACGCGCCTCCGAAATCGGAGCCGCATTCGAAAAATAAACTTGGATACACATACAGATACACAATCCGGTTCCCCGTTCTTACGATGAGGGCGCCACTGTTTTATACATATCTTTACCAAATTAGCTATACCAGTTGATATACCTCGAAACATTTTCTATTTAACCGAAATTTGGCAACAGGGTACGGAGGCCATTTAATGCCACGAGTATTTCTGTAAATGTATCTTATTTAAAAAAAATTATATTTTTAATACGTTAATGAAATAATGATATACATTGTATGATTGGACTGAAAAAATAAAGGTATTATTATTACGAATTAATAAACTGCTCAAAATGTATTCATATAATCGTTTATATCACTTTATAGCGCAGAATCCCTATCGTGGACTCTGAACCACAAAATCCCGCTAGCTCAGATGGTCGTGGGTGAATGTCCTTCGTAATTACTATTTACCTTCAAGAAGGGTTTTGTCTTCGTAGGAAATAGATCTTAATTATCTCCAAATCATATCAAAAGCGGATTGATGTAGATCCAGCAAAGTTTGGTCAGGTGAAGTTAAATCCAGTTATATCCGAAATACATCGATAGGATCCGGCACTCAAAATACCATAAATTGCCAACAAACAACATTGCACGGTTCCTAATATGAATAAACATGTCTTATATCCCTTTAATAAGGTTTCACTTGGCAGAGCGAAAAATCGACCATGTTATTCTCTGGACAACCATCACAAGACAAACTTGCTTCCGGCTTCTACATTACTTTGTCTCCCCTCCAAAACCAGACCTGCGCACCACCATCCGAAATGTCAAAATATGCTCTTAAATGAAAACTAACCAGGTCAAATGAAAAAACAATTACTAAAAATCTGACAACAATAAAAACTCCCGATATTAAACAACATATAGCGGTAAAAAGGCTTGACAAAAGATCTTAAATTCAAATTAGGCACGAACATTAAACCAATAGGAAAGCATCTACAACAGGTGTCGGATATATGAACAGTGTTGCTCCGTACATTGCATCCTACACGAACTTGCCTAGTTTACGCTTTCAAATCGCTGAGCGATACATTTGGCAACCCCGCGATAAAACGCCGCCTAGTGTGGACCGTTCGATCTACCGTTACGTCAATACAAATGTCAACTAGTTTAAAGTAAGTAAACAATTAATAACTGAATAACTCTACCACCACAGTTCTAAAAGATGAAGGCTACATTAATATACACGCTTTTTGTTTTTAGGTATCATAAGCAGCACTAACTGCTGATCCCGCCAACAACTTTTGAACTAAGATTGCAAAGTCAAACATTCATTATTGAAGACATCCAAAATCAATAAAACAAAGGTAAGTTAGGCACGTTGTCCAAAAAATATATATCACAAACCAAGTTTATAACGTAAGCCAACTATTATTAAATTCTATTACTTTTAGGTTATGCTGGACGAATGACAAGGTTATTACATATTTGTATTGTTGTTGATGTTGTTCAATAAAGTTTCAAGAATTAATAGATGTTTTAGTTGTCATTAGGAGCTATCAAGTCCTAAGGAGGCAAAACAAAATAACCAAAAGCAAGGCAAATTCACAAAACTACGATTACAATGCTCAACACTGAACCGTAGTATACATTATCTAACAAAAATAGGGTAAAGCACAATTTCTTGTGAAACAAAAATGGTAGTATTAAAATCCAAACCGTAAGGTTACAATTCCCCCCCAACCTTAAGAAAATTTCCTGAAATTTTCTCAAGAGAACATTGACAAAAAAATAGGTATTACCGTTTCTGGTCGAAAAATGATGACACGAAGAAACTTCCCCATCTCGTTCGAGACTCGACATGGGGTCGGAGCAGCCATCGCTCTGAGATGTTGTGCAGCGCGCCGGCGGTCTACTCCGCCTAATATTTAGACCCCCACAAAATGCACAATCAACCCCCATAGGTAACAAGGGTGGGACCCCAAATGCTTCCACGCCGAGCACCCGAATAGAAAGGAAACCTCTCCCCGCGCCCTTCACAAGTACGACGACCTCAACGGCTATAGAAACGACAGCAACAAAGAAACCAGCAAAATCACCGCAAGAAGTCTACCACGGTCTTCCAAGCACCCATCTCACCAAGATCGGCGTACTTCAACTAACCAAAAATTTACACACGCTCATGACACCCTGGTAGAAGTCTTCCGCCAAAAGAGCAGTAAACAAAAGTGGCAAAGAATTAAAGTTAAACAAAAAACAATAAACAAGTCCACAAATAATTTGTAAATTCAAAAAAAATTCACGCAGTAGTGGTAAACAACGTTTTTGTCGTATCTTTATATTCTTAAATAATTAAATTCAAATTCCGACGCGTGGCGTCGTGACGTTACTAAAAACAATAAAGTATACGGCAAAAAAAAACGTTACCTAAGATAAGTGTAGCCAATTTGTACCTCCTGATTACCCATGGAAATGCCATCAATGCATACCCGGATACCATAGATACACATAACATAAAATAAGGCAGTTTAACGTCTCGAGAAATTGCAGCTGGTATTCAATAATTATTTGTAAACAATGCCTATAAAAAATTCAATTCCATTAAATGTATCTAAATTCAAAATCAACCCCTTCCAAAAAAATTAAGCAACCCGTGTTGCTTAGACAAAAGTATTTGGGTTTTAGAATTTAAAAACTAATATTTAAAAAAAATTTAAATAAAAAAAAAAATTTATTAATAGATGTTTTAGTTGTCATTAGGAGCTATCAAGTCCTAAGGAAGCAAAACAAAATAACCAAGAGCAAGGCAAATTCACAAAACTACGATTACAATGCTCAACACTGAACCGTAGTATACATTATCTAACAAAAATAGGGTAAAGCACAATTTCTTGTGAAACAAAAATGGTAGTATTAAAATCCAAACCGTAAGGTTACAACTTTATTAGCAAATACTCATAAAAACGTTCCTTTTTTAGGGCTAAATATAGTTCTTCTCTTGTCATCAGAGTAGGGCAGTAATCGAATAAAATTGTAATCATGAATATAAATAGTAATTATTTTGGTGATTAATTATTATTTATGTAGTCATTATTCATGAATACTTTATTCATAAAAATTTTACGTTGTAATCATGAATAACGTTATTTATGAAATTATGATTATAATTAATATTCATAATCAGAATTAAAGAATAAATTATGTAATTATAATCATTCTGTATAATTACTTTGGTAAATAATCCACATTTTATTGATACAATTTTTTATTTTAACAAAATACCATATTTTGTAAAAAAATTGAAATATTTTTTATTTTCTGATCGTTAGAAAAAATATTTTAAAAGTTATTTAAAAAAACCATGCCTAGCTTACAAAATATACACCCCATCGTGCTTGCAAGAAAAACGCACAATTTTTGATCGAAATTCGACAAAATATTAAACTAATATGCAAATTAAAAGAAAAAGTCTTAGGACTGTAAAGATTAAGAAATTAAGCTGCAAATAGCATAGTACAAACTCTAAATACCTTATTAACCAGGATAAGACCATCTCCATCAAGTCACCATTTTTTAAACTTATATAAAAAATATTATAAAACAAATATTATTACCAAATTATTTCTCATAAATTTTAAGTCAACAAAACTATACCTAACTTATGTAGCAAATAAGGTCAATATTTAATCTACTTGGTTTGGTAAAACTATTTTTTGTGGTCATCAATTGAGGCGTTTTCACAAAGACAACATATGTATACCCAAAATAAATATTCAGGAAATACAAAAGAAACAGTATATTATTTTTGTACAGCTGGTGTCACTAATACATTTTCGTCAAATTTGGTTTTCGTAAAACACGCCTCAATTAATAATTATGAAGTTATAACGTTTAATACCGAATTTAACACGGAATAATTTATGTTGGTATAATTGGTACGTATCATAAATAAAACAACAATAATAAATTGCTCAAAACTTTTTTATTCATAATATAATAATAATAATAATAATATAAACATATAGATAATATAATAACAACCAATACGGAACTTATAATAATCTAGAAAGGTATAAAAAACATAATATTATAACAATAATAAATTGTCAAATTTATTTTATATATAAAAGTAACTTACAGCGAATTTAACATATTAATATTTGCTTTGAGAACAACTCTTTGCTCAAATTTATTGTCTGACAATTTGTTTGCTTTTGGTGTATTTATAATTGTTGCAAACAAAAACAATCTCTCTACTGCTGCTGAAGATGGTAGAGGTGTATTAAATTTTAAAAACACACTTTTAATTTGGGGGTATACGTTTAACATATTTAAGTCCACACAGGGGCTATTTAAAAAGTTTAAAATTTGAAATTCAGCTTTATAATTTGATGTTGAAGAACTATTTGCTGCATTCAATTTAAATATGTTGAAAAAATCATCTTCTTCCACAGTAGGTGTTATTGGTTATTGGTGTGATGCGTTTACAACAGCTGATTTAAAAACATTCATCAGGAGACTTTGACTGTTTTCGTCAATAAATTGAAACCATTTTTTCTTAAACTTGACTTCAAGCTGCAACTCCAGCGTCAACAGACTCAGAGGTTATAAATTCAAAATTGTCCCTAAATCTAGTACATACACTATTATATAGAGATTCCAATATTGGTCGGCAATAATGAAATTCTCTACTTTTCAATTGCCGCAATTTCTCCCTTAGCGCTAACTTCTCCTTGAAGGATATCAAGTGAATCAGCTAAAGGCGTTGTTATAGTTACAAATTTTTCAATGTATAAAAATTCAGTCTCAATAAGACAATGTCTTATTTCTAAAATTTCGAATGCTCTGTCGCCGTTTCCCTTAATTTTGAGAATATCTATGAAGGCGTCGAACAAAGAATTCCATCGAGTCTCTACTGGACGAGACGGTACTAATTTTAGTAAATCCTGTAGCATTTCAGATTCCTTTGGTCGATTAAGTGCTTTCCAAACTTTATTGCATTTTCCAAGAACTCTATCATGAATATTATTTAAAACAGCGTCTTGTTTAATAGTTTTATTGATGTCTGTTGTTGCACATAAGTTGAGAGTATGTTTTGGTAGACATTTAAGTATTCCTGATGTTTTGCAAGAAATATCTTTTTCGATGTCTTCATCTGAACCATCTTCTTCAGACGCACTTAAGTTTCTTTTATCTATTCCAAATTCTCGAAAAGCTTTACAAAAATTACTTGCATTATCAGTAACTGTAGCTAATATTGTTAAATTATTTATTTTATATTCATCATGAATCATTAAAATAATATTGTTCACTTGTTCAGCTGTATGACTCCCTTTCATCCTTCTACAAGCTAACGCAACAGACATCCTTTTTAATGATTCCAGGTCAATCCAATGGCATGTTTCACCAAAGAAACTTCGCCTTCTTCCTGACCATATATCTGCCGTCGTACAAATAAACTGGATGTTTGAAAGTTGATCTATATATTTTTTTTCATACCAGAATAAAATGAATCTAACTTTCGACTTAAAGTTCGTCTACTTATTAATTGGAGATTTAATTGAGAAATATTTAAAAAATCAAAAATTTTTCGAAAATAAACATCATCTATCACTCGTAAAGAAACCATAGAATGAATTACAAAGTTCATGAAGTGTTGATAAATTTATTTCACTATTAGCAGATGATTTGCGACTACTAGTGCTTTTTTTTAGTTTTTTGAAGAGCTGAGTATTTTTTGTATTCGTTGAACATTTCAACACCATGTACTCTTTTTAAATGAGTTAAAAAAATTGGACGATGATGTTGTTCCAGATATTAAACAATTTTTGGGAAAACATTTAGTACATTTCGCAACAATTTTTGTTGAATTCGTTTTTTCGTGAAAAATTTGAAAAAACGTTCCATCCAAAATTGTAATGCGATCAAAATTATCAATGTTTTTGGATTTAGACGCTTCTCATTGTCATTATCATCAGGTGTTGACATTTTCGATATACCTTAAACAACAATATATGTTTAAAAAATATACCTATTTTCTTTAATGAATGTAGACTTTGTTTTTTTTTTATTTTTCGTCGAATGATTCAAGCCAGACGTTTTTCATTTCCTGTTCCTGATTCAAATATATCGACATTATTTTTTTCTTAATTACAATTGTTAGAAACAAGTACTGTTAAAGATATAACTAATAATATTTTGCCCATAACCATATTTTTAATTAAATTAGGAATAAAGTGTCCTTTTATTAGAAACAGTCTATAAATATAAGTTTATAATTAAGTAGGTACTTACCGAGTAAAGATGGAATTCGGGGAAATAAATCACTATTAATTAAATTAAATCACTATTAATTAATCACTGTTAATTATAATTATAATTATTATAAGAATACGTATAAATAAAATTAATATCTAGAAATAACACTGGTGTCTTTAATCTTTGCTTAACGAATTTAAAGTGAGAACAATGTGACTAAGAAAATTCATTCACTCGTTTTTATATAATTTCGCCGGGATTAATTATATACAATGACTTTAATTATTTGAGCATTTCCACGCGTAACGTACGGACATTCGGACGCGTTTTATCATATAAATGTTTAAATTACTATTACTTATTTAAGTTTAACACAAAAACGCTTGACGCCATCTGAAAGAGCAGTAAATTTCCCATGAAATAGGCTTATGTGAGCAGTAAAAATACTTTTTCAAAAGAAAATGCAAGTACCAGTATAAAAAGCGTAACGTACGGACACCGAAGACACCCATTTTGTATCCCCTCTGTTAACGTTTGGGACTCTGCGAATTCAAATCAAATTTTCTTGCTTTATACGTGGTTTTGGATTGCCCAAAGAACTGAGATCACGATACTATTTGCGACTAAGGATTTGATTTTTTCGTTTCTTCATTATTTGCGGAAATTATCCAAAATAAAAACGTTACGTACGGACAAGGTCTCGTAACGTACGGACATACACATTTAATACACATTATAATCACGGTATTTAAAAACACAAAATCATATTCGTACCCGTTAGTTAGATTCAATTGTTGGGGAACATATGAAAAAGAAGAGAACACGTTTAAATAAATGTATTTTTTTACATTTTTTATTAATTACATGTTTTGAACGTTTAAACTAGTATTGCTGAATAATACTCATAATTAACGATACAAATTGTTACAACTTATCAATATGAATGTAAAAACGAAGCGATTTCTAAAATAAACTAAAATTACTGAAAACGAAAAAAAAAGTACACAAAATATGCATACACGCGAACTTCATTACTTCATGCGGACTGCGATGCGCCTGTCTTTATGCACATTAGATTCTTCGGCAACGCTGATCCAGTAAGGAGCGAGGGAAAACACAGCATGAATTCTGTGCGTTCTTGGGACTGTCGCAAGATCTTTCCAGTGTTCTTCGAGATCTGCGGAATTAACATCAATGTCTGCTTTGCTCAGAAACTCAACGTGAATCTTAGGGCATGCTTCTTGAGCTATAGATGTGAATTCTTCAGCAGTATTTACCACAGCTCCGCTTTTTGCTCGCCTCCACACCGAACCTTTTATTGTTCCTCCAATGGCATCAACCACCCCTTTTCCGTGACCTGATGCGAAAAAGTGCCAAGATAGCTTAATGCCGTAGCGCGCTTCAAAAACATGCAGGTTCGAAAAAAGGTACTTTTGCTTGAATTGGCTAGCGGCTCCGTCTGAAAATATTTTTACTTCAGCCACTTCATCGTAATTTTCGGTAATTAGTTCAAGTAGCCGTTCGATGAATTTATAAACGCTGATTTTTCCATGCGTCAATTCGTCCGAAACTAACGCGAAACTCTGCGCTTCCTTAGCGGACATCCAAGCATAGGCAGTAAAAACTGTGCATTGCTGGTGACACCAATGCGCACTTTGTATTTCATTTTGTTGTTTTAAAGCGTAATTCTCAGCAAAGTCAACTTGCAGTGCAATTTGTTTTCCATCGACGCTGGCAATGGTGTCTTCAAAAAATTTTGCTTGCGCTCGCTTTACATACGAGTGTTCCAGAAAATAACGTAGCTGATCCTTTAGATGTTGAAAACATTGTTGCAAATCCCAATCCATTATTTTTTTCTGAAGTGGTTGGCTTATCCATTGCTCGCAACTTGGTGAAATCACAGAAGCGTTAATAACGAAATTTCGGGGATTGAGTTCATCGATCTTGTCACGACACTGGTCGCATTTGTTGGTCATACAATCTTTTTTACTCTGATCGCAGGTGACAAGTGCGATAAATTCCTTGAAGGATCGTGGAACTTGAGTGTAAGGATGCATGGCATTCAAGATAAGGCGCACATTTTCGTGATATCGACAAACGCATACACCTTGAGGCAAGTCTCCAAAGATGCAGATTTCTTTGGGCTTCAACTCACAAAATAATGAGCGGCCAACGGGTTGATCTTTGTGCTCCTTCAGGTACATTTGGTGTGCCTCAACAAGAGACATTAACATATATCGTTTGGGGATGTACTGCTTTTGTATCCTTCCATTCTCATCGTGATGTCTCAAAATGAGTCTATCCTTCATATTTGGAGATTGCCACGAAATTTGATTAGAAAGATAAAATTGTTGCACATTTGCTTTTGTTTGTTCATTCGATCCTTTGCGAATTTTTTATGAAAATGCTAGTGGAGATGTGACTAATCGGAGACCTTGTTCTTCAGCGAGGGCAGCGACAACAGCTTTTCTTTTTCTTGGGCTACTCGGTAAGGATCTTCTTGCCCTGTATAAAGCTTTTCCAAATGATTGACGGGACCGATATGAAGAAAGAGTAAGGCTTGAACAGCTTGAATTCATTGATGAATCAGATTGCGATAAAGCCTTTCTTGAAACTCTTTTTCTCTCAGCTTCTTTTTCGCGATGGTCTTTTAGTTTCCCTAAATCTGTAGCAAGTTTTTTTCTGAAGAGCCGAGACCGTTGAGCTTCTTTTTTCTTCTGCATTACATCAACCCCTTTTTTTTCAGATTTTCCCGGTATCTTGCTTGGCGCTCTGCGGACGTCAAAGCAGAGGTTTTGGTTTTCGGTGCCATGTGATGGTGATTTTTATATGACAATTTTTGTCAAGTTTCAAAAATTTTGCTCAAATACAACTTGCAATTATTTACCAGTATTTCGTAACGAAGACTTAAAGTTGTATTTTCTTGGTCGCAGAACACTTTTTGAATTAACGATGAATGTTCGTTGGTATTCATAAAACAGCAATATCAATACGCGAATATTCACGTCCGTTTTGACAGCGATTGACTTTTTATGGTTATGCTGTATGTTGGAATATATGTGCGCATGTGCAAATAAACTAAGAACATGTGCAACATTAATTTTCGAAAAAAATGTCTTACAAATTATTTTATGTTCAAGAATGGTTTTATATTTAATGTTTACATATATATATATAAGAAATGTTATTAATAATTCTACATATTTATATTTATTACTTTGACAGTTGAGATAAGCAATTAATGTAAAACCTTAAATCCGTACATCACTAAGTTAGAACTCGGAAATAGTCGTTTTTTGCACCTCGGTTACATGAGAAAAATACAATGGTGTCCGTCCGTTACGCAAAAAAAATTAACTTACACTTGTTTTAAAAATATGAAAAAATTCCACGTTATAAAGTGCTAACTTTTGGCTTTGTATATGAAAATTGGAAGGTATTTGATAATTCTGTCACACAGTAGACGAACTTTTGTATGTTTTTCGTAACGTACGGACACGAAAAATTCAAAAAATTGAAAATGCTTTGCATTGATCAAATTTTCTTTAAGAAAAATTTTCTCAGCGTCGAAATACACTTAAAGATACCATGAATGAATTGCAATATTAAATCAGAGCTAACTATTTTGCCTCCAGGATTTCTGTTACTTGAAAACTCAAGAGAGATATATGCTCAATGAAAGGTCAGTGCGTCTGCCATGTCAATAAGCTGTTCATTCATGAATTATCAGTTATATATTAACATGTATTGTTGGAACACCACATTTAAACCTCCATTAATGTTATTCTAAACGAAATATGACATAATTCATTGATTGACATTTCGCTTTCTGTGTCCGCGTTTTCGTGGAAATGCTCATTTATCATTATTCTTTTCCGATAATTGACGATTTCAGTATTTATAACCACTCAAAATATAAATAATAAATAATATTCGTTATTCATGTTAGAATGATTTATGATTACTTTGTTGTAATCATTATTCATGATTACATTTCATAAATAATAATCATAATCATAATCGAATACAATTTGCCCCACTCTGCTTGTCATACACTTTTTAGCTCCACAACTTGAAAATAAAGTCGAAAACACTTAAATGTGGAAGT